TTATATATATATATATATATATATATATATATATATATATAGTAATGATATATATATATCACATTGTATAACAGTAGATAAAGTACAAGATTACAGCTTATAGAATTTACAAAAATAAACTATCTTGTTTTACATGCGAAACTGAAGAACATCTAGCTAATACTTGTCCAGGTAGAAATAACAGTAGAACGAGAAATGCCCAGCTTATAGAGGACTTCCAAGAAACCTTGATAAATGTAGATGAATACATGTCAGACAATGAAAGCATATATTCGGTAATAAGTCTAGATGCCATAGAAGGAAGACAAGATTCGTCGAATTCAGAGGAAGAAACCCTAATAAACGAAATAGGATAAGAAAAATTAGACTTAAACATCAAAGATTTTACTTTTGTTAATATACAATGTGATCACCAGTTTTCTAAAGGTAAATGTTTAGATAGTCAAAAATACTTTAATTGCACGGGATACCTCAATAAAGACAGAAGAGCTAAATGTATGAATTGCTATATAGAAGAATGTCTTACGTGCATAAACAAGATATTTAACATTAAAGGTTTAGACCATACAATAAGTACAAAAGAAAAAACATTAATATCCTTAGAAAAAAAGGATTGATAGTTTAGAGGATAGAATATAAAAATTAGAAAAAGTAAAAGAAGAAACCAACTAAAACACAACAGAAGAAGAAATCGAATTCTTAAATGAAAAGGAGGATTATAAATCATTTGAGGGATTAATTTGTAACGAATACAAGAAAATTAATACCATCAAAAGTTTAACAAGAATAAGGATTCAAGACTGCGAAGTAGAAACCTTAGCTCTAGTAGACTCTGAATGTACAAAAAGCATAATAAATAGAAATATCCTGCCCCTAGATATAATAAAAGAATTTTCAAAACCACAAAGCGCCATGCAAATGGATGGATCTTCAAATATATATAAATATTATGTTAGTAATGCTCAAATAAGTTTTTTTAAATACATGTGCAGACTTTTATAAACCCACATATAAATTAGAAAAAATATGGGTTAGAGATTTAAATATTAGATTAGACTTTGTTTTAGGTTTAGATTTCTTACTACATAACAACGGAAGATGTCTCCTTACTAGAGACATAGTAATATTTTCTAAAAATATGACTCAGACCTCAATAACAACAGAATCAGTTCCAACAAGATCCAGGAATCTTAAAAATACCGATAAATTTAATACAAATACATCAAAATGTAATAAAGGAGAAGAATGCAATTGTACTAAGATACATGTTATTGAAGAAATTGAATTATTAGAGCAAAGTTTATTTGATATGCAACTAGAAAGAAGTTATAACTTAATAGAAATTAATACATAACTTTACAATTTCAAAAAAAGGATTACAACATATAGGAATCATAAAAAATCAGAAAGACCTAGAGGAGGTAATTTCCACCTTAGATAATTTAGAGATAATCGGAGAAAGACCTCTAAAGCACTGGGAAGCCAACCATATAACTTGCAGACTTGATATTATTAACCCAGAATATACTGTTAAAACTGCTTCAATAGAATCCACAAATGAAGACCTAAAAGAATTCGAAGATCAGATAAAAGAATTACTAAAAATGGGAGTAATAAGAAGATCGACTTCAAGACATAGGTCAGCTGTATTTATGGTAAGAAATCATAATGAAATAATAAGAGGAAAAGCTAGAATGGTAATAAACTATAAAAGACTTAATGACAATACTAGAATGGATGGATATAAATTGTCAGAAAAATCAGAATTAATAAATAGGATACAAGGAAGAGTTTTTTTAGTAAGTTTGATTGTAAATTCGGATACTGACAAGTTAAAATGCATGAAGACAGTATAGAATGGACAACTTTTACTTGCCCAGAGGGACATTTTGAATGGTTAGTAATGCCCTTCGATTTAAAAACAGCTCCTCCAATATTTCGAAGAAAGATGGATAATATATTTAGAGATTATAAAATTTTTATTCTAGTATATGTAGATGACATTTTAGTATTTAGTAATAATACCACCAAACATCTAGGGCATTTGCAAACGGTGTTTAAGTTATTCATAGATAATGGAATTATAATTAGTAAAACGAAAATGAAAATATGTAAAAATCTTATAAAATTTCTAGGGGTAGAAATTGGAAACAGAAGGATAAAATTACAACCCCATATAGCAAAACAGGTCCTAGAGATGCCTGATAAATTAGATAAAACCAAAGACTTACAAAAATTTCTAGGAATATTAAATTATGCAAGAAATTTTATAAAAGACCTAGGAAAAATAGCAGGACCCTTATATTCTAAAACAGGAGTTCATGGACAAAAGACATTCAATATTGAAGACATAAAACTAGTACAAAAGTTTAAATAGATGGTTAAAAATATATCAGATTTAGCCCTCCCACTAGAAACTGACTATCCAATAGTAGAAACAGACGGAAGTCTAGAAGGATGGGGAGCAGTACTAAAAACAAGGAATAATAAATACGGAGACAAGAAAAACAAAAAAATTTGCGCATATCACAGTGGAAAATACAAGGAGAAAGGAAACATGAGTAACATAGATGCAGAAATTCTAGCAGTCATATATGGATTAAATAGTTTTAAATTATATATTATTAATA